GAAGGAGGTGAAGCGTGTCAGTGCAGGTGTGGTGGTTGCTCGGCTAAATGGCACCTTCCAGAGCAGGCTGCTGTGAGCTGCTGCCATCTTTGGCTGTTTGAACATAAACGGATCAGTGAGGCACGTGTGGGTTTTATCGTTTTGATTTTGGCACTGGTGTGATGGTGACCGGGCTACTGAAAAACTGGGAAGGGCTAAAGAGAGCTGTGAGACCAGGAGAAACGCTCAGAGCGTGGGACTTGGCCTTCCCTGGTGACACAAGTGACTGCAGTCGCTGTGGCTCGAGGTGCCAGTTGGTGCCCAGACCTGGCTGATACCTGACCCAGGTGAGTCTGGAGCTGCCAGGGCTTTTCAAAGCCTGTTTTCGGAAGTTTTTCGTGGCTTTGGGGCAGAGCCTGCAGTGATCGCTGTGCTTCCCTCAGGCAGACAACGTGTGCAGTGCTGCTTTAGTCCCGCAGGTGCAGAGAACCTCCACTCTGGCTGGGTTGTCCTTGAAGGAGCTGCCTGGGAGGCTGTTGTGGAAAAGTAGAGTGGCCTTGGCCAGGATTGCTGAGATAGGGACCAAACTTGAACCTGGGAGTAGCAGATGGGCATGGCATTCGATGTATGGAAGTGAAAACGAAGGCTGGGTGTGCTACACCTGGGGGTTCAGCTGCGGTGCCTGAGGTCAGGTTGGATATCCACAGTTCTGGCATTATCACAAACATTTAACAAGTCACGTTATTAAAGCTGCCTTCACCTTTCTAAAGATTGACAGCATTACGTGTGCTGTGTTGGGTTTGTAGTTCTGGTGGTTTCCTGGGGGGTTTTCATACCCCAAAGTGAAGGAGATGTTGGTGCTGATGCTCACTTCTCTGACTGCCTGCAGCTGCCTCTGCACGGGCACCTCTCTGCAAAATGTGTTGTAGACCCACCTAGAATATTCTTTCCAGAAGGTATTGATCTCTGGTTGCAAATAACAATATTAAATAGTAAAGTTTAGTCAACATGAGGCAGAAGCTTCACTTTTTCCTTGATGTTGGCTTGTGAATGGCTTGTGAGCCATCTTGATACCCTCTGTGGTGAGCAGAGTGATACAGTAGTGCAGTATAAATAAATGTGAGGTGAATGTGCTGTTGCTGCCATGCCCCTCAGATCAGTTCTGCAAAGGTTTCTGTGTCCCAGAGTCATAATTCAGATGGTTATGTTGCTTGTATGCATTTCAGAATGCTCTGCAAAATCCCTTCTGCTTGGTTTTCCTAGTTCCTTGGCCAGTAGCAGAAAAGAAACACCACAAATCCTTGGGTAGATAAGAAATTATGGAAACTTAAAAGAAAGGAGAGAGAAAATGACTGCAGCTGTGGCTGTTCAGAGTTAGCAGGTCTCTAGGGACAAGAAATCTTCTCCCTCAAGACAGGAGGTGGTTGGTGGGTCTGTGTCCTGTGTGGTTGCCTCTTGTGCTTACCAAGAACAATGTAGGATGTCATCCTGCCCTTAAAGCAGGACCCTGCCTGTCAAAGGGCGTCCTGCATGGCACAGCTCTCTCTGGTAGATGGTGGGAGGCTGCTTTTGCTGCTCCTGAGCTGCATCGTATCCCCAGTACCAGACACTGTAGTTGTGGGCACTGGGTGCTGAGGAGCTCACCTGTGACTCCTGTGTTTTGCCTCTTAGCCTGACAAAACTGTACCTTCTGCTTCAAAGGAAAGAATGGCATTGAAACTAGGAAGGTGATGGTTTCTTCTGCTCTTGCTGCTCCTGAGCTGCATCGTATCCCCAGTACCAGACACTGTAGTTGTGGGCACTGGGTGCTGAGGAGCTCACCTTGTGACTCCTGTGTTTTGCCTTTTAGCCTGACAAAACTGTACCTTCTGCTTCAATGGCATTGAAACTAGGAATGCAGTGGTTTCTTTGATCTCTGAGTAGCTTTGGATGTTATCAAATTTCTTCTTTAGATGTCATGTTTATCCAACGAGCTAAAGAAACTGCATATCTAATGGCAGAGTGGGGCTTACGGTTCTTGACTAAAATGTGCTCAGGGTTTCTGCTGTGAGGAAGCTTTGCTTTGCAGCGTCTCAGCCCTCTTCAGTGCAGTGCCAGTGACCTCGCTGGTGAGGCTGTTTCTGTGCTGCTTCTCTGTGGATGATGTGATTTAGGCTGCAGCAGACTGGGAGTTGTGGAGATGTGGGTGGGTGGTGGTGCAGAACCCAAGCTTACGGCTCTTGCTTGACCTCTTGAGGTTTTGGGGCCTTTTCTGCTATTTCCATGTGGTGCTACCGACTCTCTTAAGGAAGACTTGGTACAAGAGCTGCAACAGTTAATCTCAAGCATATTTTAGACTACTGTGTGTTTGGTATTTGCAGTTTGTATCTTAGAGATGTAACTGAACTGCTAAACATTAGGAATGGACTATCAGAAGGTTAAAAAAAAAAAGTAGTCCACTGGCTAAGGGTTGTGGATATATAATATAATGTTGTAATAATATAATAAACCTATAATGGTTTAACCTGACAGAAAGGAAGGATGGAGAAGCAGTAGCAGGATAAGTTTGCATAGCTCTATAATTAAAACATCTGTTGCCAGAACTGGGTTTTGTGTGGAAAAACTACTGCCTGTAGCATGACCCACGCCTGTAGAAGTGGTGTGTGATTTGTGGCTCTTGCAGCGTGCTCGACAGCGCAGGGATGCTGTGGCACACCAGGCAACAGCCGTGACTTACTGCTTGGGCATGAGGACCTTGGCCTGGTGCTATGGGAGCATGGTTCACCTTGGGTGCTTTGAGGGAACCCCGTAAGAGTCACGCAGAGGCCAACAGCTCCACCACATCTGTTTCTCTCCCACAAGGGTTGTGTCTGATATTAATCTGATGTTAAATAGATAATCTGCTCTTAGTTTTATTAATCTGTGCCACTGGGGAGGATTTGTGATACCGATAGCGTGGCTGTTGGGAACAGAATGTTGTGCAGTTTGTGGCTGAGCTATGAACAAGCTTGTTGGACATGACAAAGTCTCTGTATTTCTGGGGGGATTTTTAAATTACCATTAATTTCTGGCTCTTATTTGAAGGCCAGAAGACTGCTGAGATGATGCTGTAAACCCATTTTTCCCATTATTTAACTTCAACCCAAGCAGAGCTGATGTGCTTTAGCAGATTTGACCCCTCAAGTGAAGTTTTGCTTATTATATCACTGTTTTGATTACACTGAGCTGGCTGAGGTGCAGTTCTGCTGGTAGATGTAATGCAGTGCTTGACTGGAGGGCTTTATTCCACCTGGAGATGCAGGGTCACCCACGGAAGGAGTTTTGTGTCCCGGGTGTATCTGATGTTGCTGTTTTCCCTTTCAGGTCTGGAAGGTGAGCGCCCTGCGCGTCTCACTCGGGGAGAAGCCGACAGGGACACGTACAGACGCAGTGCTGTTCCACGTGAGTGTCCGTCGTGTTGCTGTGTGAACAGCAGGCCGACTTTGCTGTTTGTGCAGCTCTCTGGGAGAGTTGCCTTCAGTATTGGCCTGCTCTTGAGAAGAAAAGGACAATATTCGACTCTTGTCTAATTTGAACTGTAGAGTTCATCTCTCTGCTTACGGGCAGGAGTCTTGTCTTGAATTTTGTCAAACTGGACTGGGATTTTTCCTGGGGTGGGTTCAGTAACTCTCTTAACAGATCCAGTAGCAGCTGTTTTACTTTGCTGTATTTAGCCTCAGTTTTAGTCATCTTTGATTGCAAAGCTTTGATTCCGAGCAGGGGCACTGTACCTGGGGGTGGTTCTTTGGTTTGTAACTTGTTCTTCTCTCTCCTCAGCTGGTGCTGACAAGAAGGCCGAGGCTGGTGCTGGAGCAGCCACTGAATTCCAGTTTGTGAGTATTTGCACTTGAGATTTGCTTCGTTTATTGAGACTTTGAGGAGGAGAAAGTGGATAGGTTGTACCTGCATGTCCCTTCAGCGTGGTGCTCCTCAGGTGTGCCAGCTGGGGTTAGGTGTTTGGCTCTGACAGTGTAAGAGAGGCTGGCAGCTCCTTCCCTTTATGCCCAGCTCTCTTGCTACATTCCTGTTGGGGAGACTATGTGATGGCCTTGTTGTGGTGAGGGGAAGGCAGTGACACATTCAGGAAGAAAACCAAACACTGGAGGAAATGCATGATTTTGTACTTCAGAAATGGAAGGGTTTTAGACACAATGCACAGAGCTGGCTAGGATGGGTTGCTCTTGTTCTAGTCTTGCTGATCTGGTTAACCTGTGTCAGGTAGCAAGTCTCAGATCAGAGTTAGGCTGTGCTTGGAGTAAAGTAATGTAAAATTGAGGAAAGACAGCTGGCTCTGTTATGATGTTGGTGGTTCTTGCTGCTGTGTAATTACCGCTGTCACTTCCTTAATACGGTGACCTCTAATGCTTTTCCTTTTCTGTTGCAGAGAGGTGGATTTGGTCGTGGACGTGGTCAGCCGCCTCAGTAGAACGTCCTGCTCATGTTTTGTGTATAATAAAATAGGTGAAAATGCCACCTGGGTTGCATCACTGTGTCTTATTTTAAGTGCATAAATCTAGAGCTCGCATAGCAGAGAGGTGACTCAAGTCTTTGGTGCGTGTAACAACAATGGTGGAATAAATCGTGATGAGAAAGCAGGTTATGGGTAGGAACGTTGCAGGTTTGGTGGTTACTGATGTAGGGGTTTGCTCATGTGATTCTTCAGGAGGAATGAAGAGTGGAGCATCTCCCTTCTGAGGAGCGGCTGAGGGAGCTGGGGCTCTTTAGTTTGCAGAAGAGGAGACTGAGGGGAGACCTCATTCATGTTTAGAAATATTTAAAGGGTGAGTGTCACGAGGATGGAGCCAGGCTCTTCTCGGTGACAAACAATGATAGGACAAGGGGTAACGGACACAAACTGGAACACAGGAGGTTCCACTTCAATTGGAGAAGAAACTTCTTCTCAGTGAGGGTGACAGAGCCCTGGCCCAGGCTGCCCAGAGAGGTTGTGGAGTCTCCTTCTCTGCAGACATTCAAAACCCGCCTGGACGCCTTCCTGTGTAACCTCATCTGGGTGTTCCTGCTCCGGCAGGGGGATTGGACTGGATGAGCTTTGGAGGTCCCTTCCAATCCCTAATGGTCTGTGATTCTGTAATGAGGAGCCTTGGTTCATGGCAGTGCAGGCAGTTTTTCTACCCTGCCCAGGAAGACACTTGTATCTGGTAATTCCCAGTAATGTGGTAAATCTGGGCTGAGAGACAATTCTGTTTTACAGACAGAAAATTCAGCAAGTTCAGCGGTGCTGGCCTGAGGCTTTCTGTGCATTGCACACAAGCAGTGCAGGCAGGTGAGCGTTTCCTTTATCCCAGCTCTGAAATCACTGGGTTGATTAATCGTGGCTTAATAAAATGGGTTGGTTGTGGCAGCACCTGCTGCCTGGAGCCCAGCAGAGCTGGAGGGGAGGCGCAGGCCTGGGTCCCCTGCAGTGTGCAGCCTGCCGGTAGATGTCACCCGCCAACTAACAATAAACGAGCTGCGTGGGAATGGGTTCCTGCAGCCTGGTCAATGGCATCAGCTTCAGGGCAGCCTTAGCATCACAGAAGTGCTGGACCCTAAACCCTGGGGGAGAGGAGTTCATTCCAGTCCTAGTTTGGGGTGAGGGAAATGGTGGGCATGAGATAATTTTTTTTAAATTTATGGAGTTGGAACTGTAGGGAGAGACTGGGTGTTCCAGTCTTTGTTTTAACTGATCCATCTGCCTCTGCTGAAGTTTGTAGGCTGTGATTTAGCTAAACCTAATCCAGAGCAACCTGCTGAATCTCAGGTGGCTGGGTTTAGCCAGAGTGCACTTGACAGCCCAGCTTTTAATGGGAATGTGCATTAAAGAAGCTCTTTTTTTTCAACTTTGCCAGTGAGCTTCTGGGTTGTCCAGGACTCCCGGTGCTTTTTGTTCAAGTTACTTTATCCTACAGTGTAGTGATGATGTTTACACTTGCTGCTGTGCGTTTATAGTTGTGATTCTGTTTGGGAAGCAGTGTGTTCAGCAAAATGTTTCACTTCATGTAAAATTAAGCAACTATTTAAAATCACTTGGAGTGCTTAAGTGTGCGGTGGTTGGTATGAAGTGCTAAATGCTTTCTACTAAAAGAGCATTTGACTCTTTTAAAGGGAAGAGCTAAATGAGCAAATAAATACCGCTTTTGTTCTGGTGAGACCACCACCAATCTAAATAGACTCTTCCACCATGGTAGTATTACCCCTACATTCTAAATCTCATCCTGCTTTCCTGACACACCAGTCCAGCCTGGGACTGGAGCTGTTTGTGTGTGGCAGAGGACAGATCCCATCTGTGTCCTCTCAAAGATTTTAGTGTTCACCCCCTGTGCTGATGGGCAGGAGTTGGGGAGGTGTGGCTGTTAATGGTCTGGATGCTGCCTCTGCTGGGTGCTCCCTACGGGGATCCAATGCAAAGAGCATTTTATTCTTCCTACGTACAGGAAGCTGTTAAAGGCTTTTTAGTTTACCCTCCATATTTTACTCCTGTTTTGGAGCAGAGACCAGGCTGCTGAAGCCAACCCAACGCTGGGCAAATACTGCTCAGGGAAGCACATGCCCCTTTGCCGGGGTTTTCCTGGTGAGGGAGCACAAATTTGGAGCTGATGAGGGGCTGGGGTGTATGACAGCCCCGCTCTACCTGGGACAAGCCAAGCCCTGCGTGCAGGTGCCTTTGCGGGAGGCGATGCTGACATCAGCCGCTGCTGGGATGCGATTTTGGGGCTTATGGTGAAACTGCCTTGAGGCTGAAGCCTACGCTGCATGTGTGGTAGCGGGGGACCATGCGAGTGCCCCCCGTGAAGCGGCTCCACAGGGCTCCGCCGCCCCCCGCTTTGTTCCGCTCCCGCCCGCGGGGTACAATGGGACCCCCGCAACCGCGCTCCGCCATTGGCGTAAGCCGC